GGAGTGCAAGAGAATAATATAGAGACACCGTTCAACGAAGCGACGAGTGCTGGCCTGATACAGGTCACTGCTTTGAATCATATTGTGAGGTTTCAAGCTATCAGTCTTACTTGTTACATGCAGATACGAAGGACTCAATTGTATTCTTATTTTCTACTTATGAGTGCCTCCTTTCACTTGCTGTTTGCAATTTATTGTATGATCATGATACCTGCTGTTACCAAGGGAGGAGCTAGCTTTGTGTTCACATAGAGTTTTAGATTTTTTATTATAAATAAACAGAGAGAGAGAGAGAGTGAGACAATTGCTTTGTAGTGATAGTTAATGAGCTCTTGTTTGTAATTTTAATTAATTTGTTCATTTCTTGGAATTGATTTGATGATTATGAATCTGTTTTTTTGGTGTGTGTATTTATTCCTTTGTTTCTTGGAAAGGATAATAACACATTAACTATTCCTGGAACTTAAATGTTATGAATCTTGCAAGAGACCATTGTGTATTGCCAGTATATAAGTAGATGTAGGACTATAGCAGCAGACAGCATAAACAAAAGAGGATTAAGAGAGAGAGAGAGAGAGAGAAAGGAATGTCTACCCAAGTATCTAATAGTCGAGGTCAACACTCATCTATAGCAGCTGGTCGTGTTCAGCGCACACAAGTGGAAGTAAAAGAGTTTGGAAACACTGTTAATATATCCAAGGGTAACTTCCACCACACAAACTTTATCATCCGGAATACCCAGGGAAAGAATCTACGCCAATACTGGTATGTGAGAGGTCTCATCAATATCTTCTTGATTTATTTTTTTGCTGGTTTATTTTCATTTTTTCATGTTGGTGCAGCCAGTGCTGCCATTGTCCTTGATATTTTATGGATTTTGCTTTTCTCACAATATATGTACATTGCATCCACAGTCATACCCATTGTTGTCAAGCATCCCGTGTTGCCTGCTCTTCAAACTATTAATTGGGTCAATACTCTTTTGGAAGTTCAAGTAAAAGTCGTTGATGGTCGCTATATCTACCTCAATACAGTAGATATTGCTGGATTGCAAGTGGGCAATGTGGAAGTGCAGTATAAACAAGCTGATACTGCTGGTCTAGTTGTATTAAGTGAAACTGGTGGTACTATTAGGTTTCAGGTACTTAGTCCAAGAGCTCGTAATGAGGTTGTTCAAACACAAGTTTTTTCTTTTCTTCTACTTCTGGGAGCTATCTTTCACCTCTTCTATGCCATAGCTTGCTTTATTGGAGTCTTGGCTGCAAGTAAAGGAGGAGCTAGCAGCATTTTTAACAATGACAATTCTAGTATGTAGTTTAGCATAATTTATATTGTTTTACTAATTAGAGTATAGCTTTTAGTTTTTGTTTTAAAAAAAACTTATTGTGATCATCAGTAAAGTGCATGCAAAGGATATGATTATTTTGGAAGTCGTTTAGGGACATATTCCTAAAAGACTTCCAAGAATAATGAATGACATTATCAAAATGGTGATTCAAGTAATTGCAGAACAGAAGCTATTCCAGGAACTATGAATAAACTTAATTTAATAAACATTTAGGATACCATGAGTTCTTTAGGGAGGGTGTGTGTTTGGAAGCTGGTCTGTGTTCCTGGTAGTGTAACAGTGTGTGTGGCAATGAGTGAGGACCTTCTTATCTTCTCCGAAAAACTAAGACTGGAGTGTCTTGCTATATAATATGCCAGTGCTCCTACAAATGCATCACCTGCTCCCTATAAAGTTGAACTTAAATCATCTCTAT